CCCTTCCCCAACCCTTCCATTGTTATATGACAATGACATTGTTATATGACAATAACATTGTTATTGACACCACCCCCCCGTCTGGCGGCATCCCTTTGGACGCCAGACGGGGGGGGAATCTCTCTCTCCTTCTACTTCGTTGTATTTAACAATTATTTGATCTGACCCTTCTTGGAAAACTTTGAAAGATGGTGCGCGATTTTTCGGAGATATATTGGCACACATGTGGACCAAGAAAATTATCGCCATGCGCTGAAAGATCCTTTTTTTCTACCTTAGGAACAGTGTGAATCATGCCTGTCAAAATTGAATTGCCTCTTGTTCAAAAAAAAAGAAGATAATTGACCCAAAAACTCTTGAAGGAAGCCGTAACTCTCCGAACTCGCGAGAAAACGAGAGCACTTCCTTCGCATGAAGATACGTGGGACTATTAAAAAAAGTTCCATGACAGGCAGGGACCAGGTAATCTACGTGCAGAATTCACGTTCTAGTCCTTTCGAAATAGTTTTAATTGACTTTCGATACCCTTCTCCCAAAGTTTGCAAGAGCTATGAACCCAGGTAGTAATCCGTTTTTGGCATCAACCATGAACGCGTTGGACCCGAGAAAGTCCGTGTCGTCGAAGCGGCGGAATTTCATAAGGAACTTCATCCTGAAAAACGGCGCGAAGCAGGGCGGGAGGTCCGGCGAGCAAGGAGGATGTCGGAGCGACGTCACCTCCGCGCTAGAAACGTCATGTTGCATCCGTGGTACTGATCGACTGCGGTGGTAGTCGCTCACGAGCTCTGAAAGGACGTGCACGGTTTCCTCCTGGCTTTTCGTCGGCTGTCCACTGCGTTTTTCATCTTAACGGGTTCCCGCCCTTGTGGTCCTCCTCGTATACGTGAGTCACGCAAGGGATTAATTACATTTGTCTTTTGAAGCATTTAATGAAGTATTGCTAAAATCATTTTCGAAGGCTCTTCCCTTTCTTCAACGATCTCAGCGGGACTCATCACCTTAAGTCTAGGCCTAACCGACATACTGTGTCAGGCCTCGGCATACTTTATTCCGTTCGACCAATCTCAACCCTCAATTTGATCTTTAAGGATGAATCTCGGGATCATGGAGACATGTCAGTGAGAACTTGAGAACTTGCAACAATAGACCTATCTTGAATTTCTCGAACCATCTCGACTAGATCGGAAACGGATTAAAATACATAACGCATCGATCATCATGCATCACAAACGACAAAAAGGGCACGATTCCTCAGTATCTTTCCTTTGGCTTGGAATACTTTTTTCAAGAACAGCCCCGGAGGGTGGAAAGGAGCTTCGCTCGCATGTGATGTAATCTAATTTACCATTCCGCTGGATTTCACTCTCATATATTCCATTTGAGAATCCGGGAGGAACTACTACGTCAAAAAAAGAAGCAAACTAAGGTTATTTGTCTGATGGAGAGGATCTGAGGGGTGGGGTGGAGAGGAAATATGGGTACCGTAGGAAGATGCCCAGCTCTATACCCCATAAATTCCCTCTCATCGCTCTTGAAGGCAAAGACATACATAACATTTGCTTAGTTAATAAGTTATTTTGCTAATCTAGTGGTGCATCCTCTATAAGAGGAACGTTTTTGCGCTCCAGGACGTGTTCTGTTAGCATTCAGTATGAGTTTTTCCTATTTATTGTCACAGGTATTTGCGACGAACACCTTTTAGAATTATGTCTTTTATTGTCTAACTTCGGAACTATATTGTCCTTCGTCTATTATTCATGCGAAATGGTAATTAAGGGAAATTCACTATCTAGTGTGGTCGAATTCGCCATGGCGCTCATACTTTGATGGTTCACAGTTGAAATTGACAGTGCTGGGTAACATGAGGAAATCCAAGCAGGCTAATATGAGCATTCGAATTCATCTGCCTTTCCAATAGGTACTAAGGAAAAATGACATATTGCGAACGATCTGTCACTTAACTATTTAAATTAATTATCTTATTTACTTTTCCATTTCGTCTGTCCACAGTATTCATAACAACCGGACAACACGACTCACTGCGCACATGCCTGGATTCCGCCTGGATCCGGCTATCATCAAATAAAAGTTCTCGATTAACTTCCAGCCCTCGCAGAGAACGGATCCACGGTAGGGAGAGAGTAGCTGCTGGTAGCAGCGTAGGCAGGATTGCCAGTCTTGCCAGTGAAATCCCGCATCTGAAATCCTGAACTCTCCTCCCATCTCCGCGCAACGCGGACGTTCGAACCATTGAGAACGTTCTCGAGTTTCCCAGGACTATTCACTTCACGACGTACTAATAAGACTATGTATCAACTCGGTACATGAGACAGAAGACGTGGAGAGAGCCTGTTTCTAATGATCCCATCAGAACTCATGATTTTTCTTATAATTTCCGATTCCCAGGGCTAATCGCATTTAACTTCCACGTACTATTTACCCAGTTTAACCGGGGATCGTATATGTGACCAATACTGATTCCATGGGGCAATTTCATGCTCAGGAAATGTATGAAATTGTATTTCCTTCATGCAGGAACAAATATGCAAAAAGTCAGGATGATGATACTGCTAGTACTATTACTAGTACGGAAATCCAAGGAGGCGCCCATACCCCAAGTTACTACAACAGTGGCTTCAGAAAACACCACGGCAGCGACGGATGCTACTACGGCGGCTTCGGACATAACTACAGCGACTCCATACACCACCACGACGACAGCGGGGACCACCACGGCGGCAGCAAGCATCAAAATAGCAGCTACGGGCACCACTGCAGCGACTCCAGACACTACCACGACAACTGCCGCTCCAACCACCACGACAACTGCCGCTCCGACCACCACAACAACTGCCGCTCCGACCACCACGACAACAACTGCCGCTCCGACCACCACGACAACAACTGCCGCTCCGACCACCACTATCATCACCCAGTCGCCGACGACGATTTTCATTAATCCGCTTCTCGCTTTAAGACAATTCTTTCTTGAAACATTTATGGGCTAAATTCTCTGCAAATCCGTTTCTGATCTCTGCCCGCTTCTGCCCATATGTTTTCTATTTAGTCTTGCCACGAATTCATTATTTATTGAAATACTCACGAACTTCATTTTAAACTTCATGAAAGGAATGGGAGGTTTGGGACGATTTTTCCCTCTTGCTTTAAACCATATTCATTCATGCTCCTGCCCTTTTTTTGAAGGTGTCATGTCAGCTCTGCCCGTTTTTTTATGATTTCTATGCATTTCCCCTTTTTTTCCCATTCACTTTGTTCCGTACTCCCTTGGAAATACATGCATTCATTCTTGAAGAGTGCACTACGATTTTAAGCTTTGGGGATATTTCCATCCATGTTTTTCATCTCTCTTCATTTCATCGACGTGGATTCCATTCATTCCCTCATTTCCATCGAGGAACGAAATTCACACGTATTTTCTTTCATGGAAACTAGGTTTTTGTTTATCATAAAAAAATTCAGTTTGGCCCATGCAGCAATGTGGCGAGTTTTTCGGGGGCAGCCACATTAGCACCAAATGAATTTGCCAACTTGGTTTTAAAAAAAAATTGGTTTTGGTGAGATTCCGGACGAACAAGTAGATCTTTTGAAGGTCCACTGCATCGCATTCATTCAGTTAGGAGCCCAGTATGTAGTTTAAAGTAGAATCGATACGATTGAAGGTTTAAGATTGAAGGATTGAAGGAATTGAAGGATTGAAGGAATTGAAGGATTGAAGGAATTGAAGGATTGAAGGAATTGAAGGATTGAAGGAATTGAAGGATTGAAGGAATTGAAGGA